TCTCTTCGCAAGAATGTAACATTTATTTTTGCATCATTATAGAGGTACAAAGGAAGCATGCTTGGAAAATCCGTTCAATATCAGAGCTTAAACGCATCACCAGGACTTAAAAGGTGCGACGATAGATCAGCCATCAAAGCTTTTGTTAGGAGGAAAACAGATAGGGGAGTAACTGAACAGAAAATAATTTGGTATTAATTACTATCTCTTGCATAAGTATGTAACTTTCTCCAATAGTCAGTGTCCTGGCCACGTCCTTGCAACAAGTGGGGATAGAATGAAAGTCCGAAATTTACTTAAGAAAGATGCAGAGAATTTAGGGTAGATATCTTAGTGGATGGGAAAAACTAAAGGATCCATCATGCTAGTGCAAAATGGGGGGATGATGATGATGATGGTCCTACCTCTACCCCTACAAAGGTTTGGGCTGGACGATTTATCATTAAGATAATTAAATATGAAATTTCAAACCTTTAAAATTTGTTGAACCAACTAGTGCCAAGTAGTGTTGAGTAATTGGTACTGATGAAGTCTGCAAGTAGTAGACGAAAAACGCGTATCTGTCATAAGATAAGCAATTATAACGGAATTTAAAGGAAATAAACCAACACACTCAAAGCTCTTCATGAAATTTTAACCAGGTTAGAGAACAAAATCGAACTGGTTAGAGTTATGGCGAAGACATCTTTGCTATCAAATTCTTTCGAAGCATTTACCCTTGAACGGCAGATAATGCGATTGTACCTGTCTCCAGTGATGGAAAAGTTCGCAAAAAATCAGTATGACTCGCTAACTTTTCCCTTGGAGAACTTCGTGAAATATAGCGAACTTTTCCAACACTGCCTGTCTCATAGCGTTCGAATGAGAAAATGGAAGAGTTGCCAGTCTTCTTGATTTGTTGTCTTCAGTTTTGGAGTGACTCCATAAAAAACCGGTCGTAATGAATTTTGTTCAATATACTTTATAAGTAATTTGATGCTCCGAAATCAACATTTTGCGTTCAAATCACGTATTTAAAATTCTAATATTTTAGAGTGGTTCTTAAATTTGCACTAAGTTTTTTTTTTCTAGTAGGGTAGAGAACTATTTTGGCCTAATCGCCCATTTTGGGCCTATCGAGCCGAAAACTTCAAATAAATCCATGATTTCAGTGTTAACATGCCAATTATGCGTTTGGAACGATATTTTAGTTAATAAGCTTCCGAACGAAATCAATGAGAACGCGTGATATGAAGGTTGGCATTCCCATTATTCCCAAAAACAAAAGAAACGCTCCGATCGAATCAATTTTTATCTTCATCCGATAGGCCGAAACGAATTCATTAGCGTTTCAATGGCATTACAATGCGTTAGGCCGAGTTTAGCATCAAGAAGCAGTGTTAGACTTTTGACAATATCTCAACGATTGGTTTCTCTTTATCAAATATTACGGTACGGAAAGGTAAATAAGTTTGGTGCTAAACTGCGTTAAATTAAGAAAGACTAAGTGTGGGTTGTGCTTAATAGGTCGGAAATGGGAGACGAGGCTCGGTAGCTCAGTGGTTACCGTTTCTGCTTACTGAGCAGAAGGTCGGGAGTTCAATCCCAGGCCCGTCCCCTTCCTTGCAATTTTTCACTTTGCCTTATTCTCTATACCCACTAGATTTTAATGAAAACAAATTCTTCTTTAACACCGATCGCATCACTTACCACAGTGTGGGTCCTGATCTAAAAATAGAAATTGGATGAGTGCGCGCGCGTGTGTGTGTGTGTGTGAGTGTGTGTATTATAATCGCTCTACCAAAAAACGATTCCTGCGTGTGCGTGTGCAACCTTTCTCCACATCCAACATCCCAGTGATTTCTCGTGGAAGCGCAGAGGATTTCTCGGTTTCCTTCACAGCGAGTACCACGTCAACACATTCCTTCCCATTCCCTAGTTGACCTGCATTCGGACACGGCCGGCGCTGGTATTGCTTAATATTAGATCTCCAGTTCTTACACATTGAGGATGAATGTTAGTCCCAAACATCATCTGTTGGTTCTCTGTGTAATTGCAGCTGATCTGGTAATAACAGAGCAGCAACCGTGGGCGGTCAATCTGATTTTTTGATTTTTTTGATTTGTGCTTAATAGGTCGGAAATGGGGTAGTTAACCCTATTACCAACATTGACCATAGTTTTGAAATTCTTTGTTATTTGAGATGTCACATGATAGGTTTTGGTTTGAGACTCTGGCCACTTTACCAGGGAAATTGGAACGCGTCCAGGGTGGCTAAAGTGGTTCTGATAACTCGCCATAACTGCCATCGGTTGTTTTAATTTTCGATATTTGAGGTCTTACTTAATGTGTTCAAGTATAATTCCGGATATAATTACTTTCCCTAGGAAATTTCTGGTATAAGTTGGTATCGAACTTGGCACTTGTTGCAGCGTAAGCTACATGGTAAGTTTAGGATAATGCCATAATCTGGCCAGTTTCCTGAGAGTTTCCTGCAGGGGTTTTTAACGGAACATGCATTTGAAATCAGCATGAAAATAAAATATCTAGGCAACCTGTTAATTTTCCCATGGATTCAGAATAATATTCGGCACGAAAACGTTAAATCTCATTAAATTAGAACGGGAAACACGAAAATAAAAATAAAAATTAAGACAAGGCCAACAAGAGGAGCACTAGGGCCAAAAACTGGCACACTTACCCTTGTTGGAGATGCTTAACGTCAACATCTGACATAAAGTGAATATTATATATACGATAGATGAGTGTGTGAACATTTTAAATAGTGGAAATGGCTCTAATGGTGGCTTATGGATCTAAGATTGGGCCCATCGCTAAAAATCTGCTATTTACCCAACAAACATTGTTAACGGAATAAGAGCTTATTCAGACAAAGATAAGCTTATTCAGCTAAAAAATAGCTTATTCAACTCTTAATCAGCACAAATTGTTTGTTGGGTATCAATTTTATCTAGATTAACGCGTCATTGAGACGGTACTTTTGGATATTGTCGGTCGCTATTAAAAATTTAGTCGACTGCTGAATTTATGTATTCTTCTTCTTCTTCTTCTTCTTCTTCTTCTTCTTCTTCGCATTTCAAGCTTATTGCATATGATGATGATGGTCCCACCTCTTATCCCTACAAAGGTTTGAGCTGGACGATTGAGTTTACATTTGATTCACAGCGATATAAATGTGGATTTTAACAACAAGTTCTAAGATTTTTTCTAATGTGTGCAATATGTTGATGCGACGAAACTCTTCGGCTTTAATCGTTCCTGCAACTTTTTGAATAGGAACCACTAAGGATTCCTTCCAAATTTGTGGCACATGTCCATTCTGCAATGATTTATTAATAAGGTCCAGAAAGATGTGGCCAATGACATGAAAGCAATCTTGAATAACTCTAGCATTAACATTATCTACTCCAGCCGATTTTTCTAATGCAAAACAAATAACTCTAAGTTCATCTAATGTAATTGGGCGAAAAACTTCAAATCTGCAACTACTATTAACTGGCTGTTTTATTTCGTCAGGTTCATCGACGAGTTCAATAGATTGATTAATCAATGAAACACTGTCTACGAAATAATCATTAAACTTAACTGCAATTACTTGTTCTGACTGTTCTAATGTGCCATTAAAAGTTATGGACCGCGGTTTGCAATTACTAGGTTTTAATAAAGATTTCAAAATTTTCCATAACTCTTTGCTGTTGTTTTGATGCTGATCAATCTTTCTTTGAACATATTCACAACGAGTTTTCTTTATCGATTGTGAATACTTTTTACGCGCGATTGTGTACCTATTCCAATGATTGTCATTATTTGATCTACAAAACTTTTTGTACCATTTTCCGTTTAAGACGCAAAAGATCCAAATTGTACCAGCTGTTCGAGTTTTTAAAGAAACAAACTTTATTGCTCAACTAGTTGATTGGTACACGTTTTCAAATCGTTATTAAGAACAGCTGTAGATTCATCTAAGTTACCGGCCACGAATGAAAAATCCACGCTCCTCTCAACAAGATTTGAAACAGCTTGCTTCGAATATTTCCTCCAGCACTTCAATTTTACAAAATTATCGTTATCGTTAACATGGTCTAAGACATTAATCACTTAGGTCTCATGATCGGTAATTTTCAAATCAGTATCCGTAACTGAACAAATGGAATCAAAATAGGAATAAACGTGGTCAATTAAAGTTCTACTGTGCCTGGAAATACGCGTATACTCATTTACCGTTTGCTTTAAATTAAAAAAAAAACTCAGCTAAACGCTTCAAATGATTCGAATTATGGTTATCACGCCAATTAATATTAAAATCATCAGCCAATATATTTAATTTACTAGAATCTAGGAATGTCTCAAGCCAGTTCTCCAAAACTTCAACAAAACGCTGGTCACTAGAACTGGGAGAATGATACAAAACACCATAGTTACCCATCTTCATGCCACGTACAACTGTAATGCCCAAGAACCAGTTGCCATCAATAACTTCGTTGGTACGAAGGTTTTTTTTTTTTCCTTTGGTTTGTTTTTTTCCGTCGATCTTGTTTTCCGTGCTGAGCACCAATGCTACCGACGTGCCAGGAAGGCAGCTCCCACATCTGGACCCTAACTATCGACCCATCAACTCATGAACCGGGGACCAACGGCTTTACTTCCCATCCGAAGGAAGGCGTAATCAGAGATGTTATGCCTCAGAACATCCCGGCGGCGCCGACTGGGATTGAACCCAGGCCTGCTGGGGTGAGAGGTAATCACTACACCACCGGCGCCGTTAATTGACGAAGTTATACAGTAGAGTTCCCTTCCTTGTAAAGAATTACAAATAATGGCAATTAGGAAGAGCTTAAAATTACATAAGTGAGTGAGTGAATGTACCATGTCAATGTAATCAACGGGAATCGGTTCATTTCGGATGCAAATCAAACACACTTCTACAACATAAGATCTGTATATCTTAATCCTTCTTCTTCTCGTACGGTTTATACAACAATTGTTTCCTTACTTACTGCTTCTTCTTCTTGAAATAGTCAATAGCATTGTAATCTGATGTGTAAAATAAAGCATCCTACATTGTCTCGCTGCATTGCCAGCTTAATGTTTTGATTTAAATAATTGCTCTGCTGCTGCATGCGGTCTATCCTCTTTGCCCTCTATCAATGATTACCTACACTTGTTGCTTCATCAGCGATTTTTCTCAACTTAAATAGTGTTTAAATAAAAAGTATTTTTCCTTATATCTTATCACACACAATTTTTTTTTTTTTTGGACATATGATTTATTTTTCTCTCTGCTTAGCGGTTTAACCAAGAATCATTTAGCGAGACTGCGATTTTCATTTTCATCTAATGTCTAATGTAAATAATTTCCTTCTCATCTCTTTTTCTTTCCATTTTCTAAAGTAACAAACTTTCCGTGCTAAATATTTTCTTCTTTTTCAGCTAAATCAATTGAAACAACAGGAAAAAAAAGTGTAACTAAATGTATCTGCTGTCGTCCGTCATACGCCTAAAGTACATTTTCGCCTGCAACTCAACTCCCTCAACAACCTAAACAGATTTTCTTCAATGACTAAAAAGAAAAACCTATAGCTTGAAATGTTTCCGCACGGTGTAAACATTTCCCTTTAAAAAGCACACTTTTTTCGAACTTTCGGTGACACATTTCACACGTGCTCACAAGCTTTCTCGCAGCTGCTGGCAGCGCCATGTATCGTAAGCTCTTTTAGTTTTCCTATAGGCGGTCAAGATGCGCAGGGCTGTTACGTTGTGCACTCATGTGTGTGTGAGTAGGAAATTTACGACCTTATTACGAGCTTTCGGCGAGTGTATCCCTCTCTCTATCTTTCTCTCCTTTTTTCGTGTCTCTTGTCATCTCATTCGCGCACCACACACTTGTTGCATCATTAGTCAATGATTTCCATACGACGACACTCGAAAGCGTGGCTGTTAGTCGGGTTTTGCAAAATGATGATTGTTTTTTTGATCAAAAATGATTCTTTTTTTTTGTATTGCGATGAATGATGAACATAGCTATTAGGACTTTTCGTAACGGTTACCAATAGTAGAACCATGAACGTGTAAGAGTGTTTTTGTTTGTTTTTGTGTAAATTTTTTGGCTTCAAATTGGTTAATGATTAATTACAAACTCCTTGCAAAATTGCTGTCCTTCTGGTCTGCGTGAAGAGCGTTAAAAGTAGATAAAATAGTAGTTATGTGCAACAGAAAAACTTAATAGAAAGTTGACCCTTTGTGTAAAATTCTTAGCTCCCCCAAATAACCGAGTTTCTTTTCTTTTTTTAGCGAGCATGGGCCTTGCAGAACGGGCGACCGCCTTTCGCGAAGAAACTCTGTCCCTCGAGGTTCTTCTTGCAACTCTGAAATAAGGCAATAGCATTAGTGCTGTAAGTTCAAAGAATAGCAAGCTAGCTAACTTACGGTGCAATTGAAGCACTGACTGTGGTAGTTGTTGTTCATGGCCTCCACCCACTTGTCGCCGGCTTCGACGGGGAATCCGCAGGCGAAGCACTTGGTGGTGAACAGTTCGTTCCAGTCGGCTTCACAGTAGGGATCGCCTTCCTCCAGGAAGAATGGGCTATTTCCGAACTGCTTTCCGCAGTAGGCACACTTGAAGCACTCCGGATGGAACTGCTTGCCGATGGCGTTCAGGCAATCACCCTGAAAAAATAAATGAAAAGTCGTTAGCCATTCCACATTGAAGCGGGATCAACGGACGAACCTTGACTCTGGTGTTGCACTTGCTGCAGAGGGGGGCCAGGAACTCCTCGAAGCAGTACTCGCAGTACAGATCGCCCTTCTCCTCGACGAACCCGATGTCGGCCAGCGGGCGTTTGCAGTTGGCGTTGTGGCAGATGAAGTGATCCGGGCACCAGATGCGTCCGAGAGCGGTGATGAATGGACCTCTGTGGGGGGAGTGGTGAGCATTTGGGGAATCGAGTTTGGTTAATTGAAATCTTCTCGTGACAATGGTTATATGCTTGATTGAGGAGCGGGGATGTTAATGACAATAACAGCGTTAACATCGTCAATGCAAATTCCCATTGCAGACGTTAATGGTATTAATGTCATTAACAATCCTGTTGAGGATTAAGAAACAGATTACGGAATAATTTTTCACAAATTTTTAAATGTTTGAATATTTAAAGAAGTTCCAAGTAGAGCAGAGAATCTAAGTCTTGAGATATTTTGGGATTTTCAAAGATCTTAAGGGTTGTTTCGATGATTTCAGGGATGTTTCAAATACTTTAGGGAAGTCCACACCCGTAACGGTAAGTTCAAATAAATTCAAGACAGATCCAGCTTCTGGAAAATTTCGAGAACCCTTAATAAATTCTGGGAAGTTCAGGAATGTCTAAAGAACTTCAGAGAAATATTTCGGAAACTTTACAGAAGTTCCGAAAACTTCAGGGAAGTTTAAAAGTTTGCATTACAGTTCCATTAATTTCGTACTAAGAACTTCAGGGAAGCTCTGAGAACATAAGGACAGATCAGAGAATCTAAGGGTAGTTCAATTAATTCCAAGGAAATTGCTGGAGCTTTGATGAGGTGTTCTAGAATTTTCAAAAGCTTCCACAAAGTTCCGAAGGCTTCTGGAAAATGTCAGCAAAGTTTAGGAATTTACGTGCGCATCAGGATAATGAGAAGTTTCAGGCAAAATAACGGAAAAAAAGTAGTTCCAGGCAAAATAGAAACAAAGAGAATTTTTGAATCTACCTTCTCCGAATTGTATGAAACATTGTGTAATTGATTGTTATGGGCAATGAATCAAATTAAGAAAACAAAGGCAACTTCAAAGAAGTACCAAACACTTCAGGGAAAGTTCAGAAAAAATAAGAGATTTTAGGGAATGTTCTGAGAGTTTCAAAGAAGATTTCAAAACTTCAGGAAAATTTCGGGAACTTTTGAAAATTTCGGGGAAATTTAGAGAAGTGTTGAGAACTTTTGTGCAGTTCAAATAACATCAGGAAAGCATGTTAAACATAAGAAAAGTCTTGAATTTTTGGGAAGATTTAAGCTGATGCACGAATTAGTTTCGATAATTTAAGGGCAGTTTCATTAAGGGGATACATATAAGTAATTCGGTACAAAATCATGGGTTGATGTAAGCACACATTTTTTTTTTTGAACTTGTTTTCAGGGCATCAAAATATACATTTTCAAGTCTTCACCCAAAATTTCAGCCAATTTGGTCCATCCAATGCTGAGATATCGTGGGACCCACAAGTCGATTACCCTTATGCCGATCTATCTTTAGACCTCAATTATTTACAAACAGCAACATTTCACCCCAACACGTGTTTACTAATACTAATACTAACACAGTCGAACCTTGGGAAAACTCCGGAAAATTCATAGAAGTTCAGAAAACGTTAGGGAATATTCGAGTGCTTCAGGGAATCTCTGGGAGATTCTGGACTGTTTCATGAACAAATTTGAAAACTCAGAACTGTGTGGAGAACTTCACGGATTTTTAAGAAAGTTAAGGGATTCTCGGCATAGTTCTATTAAATTCAGGGCAGTACCAAGTGTTTCGGGAGCATTGGAAGAATTTCAAAGAAGTTCAGAGTTTTTCTGGAATATTACATAATATTTGAAAAAGTTTCAAGAACTTCTGGGATGTTGTTAAAGCTTCAGGAACTTCCTAGAATTCCAGAAAAATTTCGGAGACTTCAGGGAAGATCTATGATCATTACGACAATTGAGGGAGCTTTAGGGAAGTCCAGAGAAGTTCAGGGAAGTACAATGTTTTTAGGAAAAGTACTGTGAGGAATCAGGTTAGTTTTAAAACTTCGAAAGAACTTTAAGGCAGTTCTCCCAAGTAACAATTCTGCAACCATTTGGCATCCACTTTGATTTATGATGGTTTTATAATGGCAATGAATAATCCATTTAGTTTAAATACAGCATTTTACAGTGTAAAACGTTCCTGCTTAGTAGTACACTTTTTCACTGTTTTAAAAACCTTTTACAGTCTGGCGAGAAGTCAAAAACTGGTCTGTGAAAACATACCAGCCTCCTTCAGACCTTGCGAATAGATGAAGATCGGAATAACTTGCGTCAGTACCGACAGTAAACCACTGAAACTGTCAGTTAGCGGACACTAGTTGGTTTCCGATCCATAGCTGCGATTTTATTCGGCGAAAGGATCATCACTTGAAAAAAAAATCAATTCAACCGTACATTCCTGCATCGTTTGATGGTGCACTTCCAGAACCATCCGGAAGAAGGGGATCTTTTCGGGAATGATCGAGCTTACAGCTGTGCAAAATGTAGTGAATACTTTCTGAGTAACTGCTTCCAAGCCATCGGGAGAGAATCGTCTGGAAGAACGCTGAAGCGCACAGCGCAACTGTCGAAAGATAAACAAACTTTGACGTTTAACACTTTGTAGGCAACATAGCCGCCATAAATCTGAACGGATTGGGATCAAGCTAAATGGCTTTAGATAAATACAATATAGTCTACAAGTTTTCTTCATAAAAGCCAATTCAAAACCTTATGAATTTGTTAAGGATTTCTTGAAGGCAAAATAACTTTGTCACAAATGGCCCATTAAAATCAACTTTTTTGCATCTGCCATATTACAATTATTTTATTTGTTTTTTACAATCATCGATTTTCAATCTATATTTCCTTGGATATAACTTTATTTTAGTTAATTTAACAATGAGAAATATTAAGAATGCAAAAATCATGAAAAACAAAAATCTCGGCTAAGCTTATAGGGTAAATGACGGCTTCGACATGACAGACTATTTTCGGCAACCCAAATTGAAACACTATTTTCACTGGATTTTCTTACGAAAACACTTCGCTGAATGCATGCAAACGATTCTTTATGCTTTCAGCTTCAATTTGGCTATAATTTAACCACTGAGAAAAAGCAATCTAGCAAGGTTTTCTTGAAATGCAACACACGCACTACAAATTGTAGCTGATTTCGAGTTGCCGATAATAGAACAGCAGATTTACATGCAGTTTGAATGGAACGATTGCCGAAGAAAAACTGGTTGCCGACAATACTCGTTCTCACTAGAGAAGATTGGAGCTTTGTAAAAGCGTTTCAAAACAGTTTTTGACAATTCTTTCGACTGAAATTGTTAGAGCAGCTGGCAGCAAAAGATTGTAAACAAACCAATAGTACATATGTGTGCGTTCCTTAGAGAAAAAGGCTATAGAAAGAAGGTCGCTGCTTAGGTTGCCGAGAATACGTAAATTCCCCTATAAGAATATATTTTATTTTCTTAATGTAAAATAATTAGTAAAATCGATGTTTTCCGTGTGCGGACTAAAATTTTTCGATGTTTTCACATACATTTCACATCAAATTTTATGTGGCACCTAAAACTAGGCGACTTCATGAGAACTATTTTATAATTTTGGAAATTCGGCAGGATTTTTATACGATCAGTTTTTATTTTAATTATTTTGATAAGATCGGATGGTATTTATGAATCCTTTTTTATCTTGATTGTTGTTTTTCTTAAGAACTTAGCAAGTGGCTAGGGTAAATGGCTCGGATAATGCTTTTAATTGTTGCCAAATAGCTTTTATCGTAGCTTTAAGACGGGTTTGAAATGGATTTCAATGCGTTTATCGTACAACCATTTTCCAGTAAATCAATCTTGAAGAGCTTCGAAAATACACCTTTCAGAACCTTTTCCAGAGTGGGCCAACAAGACAGATTCTAGCATCAATGAGGTTTTGGTGGATGCATCAATGGCAAAGCAGTCTTGACCAGGGTTTTATGAATGTTGTTTTATAGTGGCTTTGTAGTATTTCATAAAACTTAAAATGTTACTTGGGCTATTAACTCCAGGAAAATTATCGAAACTTTGAGAAGAGAATGTCAGGGAAATTCACAAAGTTAAGAGTTTAAGCAAAATTACGTGAACTTCAGATTAGTTCCGAGAATTTCAACAAAATTCCAGGATCTTTAGGGCTGGAAAAGTTAAAAAGCTAGAAAATTGTACGAACTCTATGGCCTTTGCCTTTATTTTAAATATCTGACCGTAGCAAATAACAGTCACGTTTCAAACTTCGCTGCCTATTGGTAATGCTGCTTCCCAATTCTTATTCGTGAACGAAGATGGTGAAGCAAGCATGGTGATCGGTGAATAAGGGTTTGGCATATCAAGGCGAAGGTCTGGGTCAACTCTAATTGATGGTAGTATTTTACGTCTCAGATATCAGTCGGAAGACACTTCCAAAGAAGGCCAGAAAAACTAAGACAGTTCCAGGAGAAGCGGGAAGAATTTTCCGATGGAAGCGAACTTAAACTTCCGAGAGAAGCCGGTTACAACTTTCTGGGAAATCGAAAGAAAATGCCAGGGAATCCCTAAAGTCGAAAAAGAAAAAGGCTTAAAAAATCTCCTGGAGAAATTGGAAATTGAAAAAAGAAAACCGGAGAAAATTTTTAGGAGCAGTTGGGAATATCTCAGAAATATGGAAAATTTTCCAGGGAATTCTGGCAAAAAACATCCTGGGAAAGTTAAAAGAAACTACCGAGAATCTTTCAACGGAAGTCAGAAAATCTATCGAAGGAAATTGGAAATATTTTACTAGAGGAACCAGAAGGGTTTCAACTTGAAAATGAAAGAAGTTTCCTGGGAAAATAGGACAAACTTTCGGGAGAGGATGGACAAACTTCAAAGCAATTCCAAGAGAGCTCTGACAATTTTGAAGAGAATTCTTTAACAAAAATGGAGAAGAACTTCTTAGGAGTAATTCCAAGCGAGTTCTGAAGTGAATTCAAATGAAAAATAATACCAAGAGATTTCTTAGGAGTATTTCAACATAATTCTACCTAAAATTTTAAGGTTACATTTTCCAAGGTCAATTTCAAAGGAATTGAATTCCAAATTTCGAAGACAGTTCCTAAAAATGTTGAAGAAAATTTCACAGGAATTATGATTGACTGGATGCGTTCAAAAATCTTCAAGAGTCCAGTTTACGCTGCAATGTTGGCATCACTGGCTTTGATCGGTTGAAGATAAGGCCTAACCACGCTTATCACATACCCATCGAATATTGATCTGGTAATCTGTTTCCTAGCCTCAAAGTCCATAAATAACATCACAAGTTATCGGTAAATTGCAAACAAGAAAAAACAACACTCCAATTCAAACCAGACTACTTACGTTACAATCTTGTGGTTGCATTTGTTGCAAACGGGTACCTTGTCTACCAGCGCCGATAGCACTGCGACACTATCGGTGGTGGTAGCCGCCGAGGTATCCTTCTTTGCACTTTCCGCACTGCTCTGATTGCTGTGGTTGCTGTTGCTGTTGTTGTTATTTTTCTCCACATAGGAACGTCTATCACGCGCATGCGAGGTTAGTTCAGAACTTACTTTCCGTCGGTTGATCTGCGATCCCAGTGGCTCGTCCGGGTGGCCACCATTGTTGATGTTGTGGCTGTTCGCGAGGTTATTGTTCTTGGGCCGCAACACAACACTGTTCACAGTCAGGTTAGTCGGTGCTGGATTGAGATCTATACGGAGTCCATTTTGGGGCATGACGAAGGGGATTTGCGATTTTGGGAGGGGTGGAGGAGCGGGTACAGAGTTAGAATCACACATATCGATGATCCGGGACATGGGATGGGATGGGTTGAGGGTTCGTTTAGGGAGAGTGTTTCCGTTCTGGAGGAGGTTTTCCTTGTTCTTGGAGTGGACGTCCAGGTGGGAAGAGGGATCGTGCTTTTTTAGTCTGGCTTCCAGCATCTCCTTGAGCACGTTGGATGCTTGCTTGCGGTAGTCACTGTTACCGTTGATCGAAGCCAGTTTGCTTACCGAGTTATCCAGCAGAGTTGTAGCCATGCCCGGTTCAAATTTGGACTGCTTTAGCGGCGATTTCTTCGGCTGCTGGTGATGAAAGGAACCTGCGTGGGAAAGAAGTTAGTTTGGACACAAACAGAGCGGTTAGGTTAAAGCTTCAAACCCATGCAACGGGAACAACACACTCAAAAACAAAAGAAACACAATCGGTATATAGTTGTCATGCTGAAGTCGTTTTCACACCTGATTTGCTGATTGCAGCAGCCACACAGTGGAACACGGCCACCGGGAGCAACTGCCTGGTTCATGACACCGCGACCACGGGTTGGAGCGGTGGTCTGACAGGCAGCCCGTCCCTTGTTGTACAAACCAGAACCTGCGCTAGCATCAGATCGATCAGTATTATTGTTTTGACAGCTCATAATATTACTGTTGCTGTTGTTGTTGTTGTTGTTACTGAAGCCTGTGATGCTGTTATTGGAAGGCCTGCGTCCATTGGAGACAGCTAGAGGGACTGCTGGTGCCGGTGGAGCTGCAGGTTGTGGGAGCCTCACGTTGGCGGTTGGGTTAGTGTTAGACATGAAAGATGGTAGCTGCGGTGGCCACGATTGTGTTAGTTCTTTTTCGGGCTCTTCGCGCTGCGTTCCCAGTGATCCAGTGCCAATCATGTACTCGTTGAACTGAGCTTTGAAACCACTGGTTGGTGTTGGCGAACGTTGTTGAGCGTTCGGAGGAAGTAGAACACTCGCCTTGCGTGAACTCTTGGTTGGGAAGCGATCTACAATTGGTTCCGTGAAGATGGCTGTAGATGGGAAAGCACTAGGAGCTGGCTGGGACATCTGTGAGGGGAAGGAACTAGGAGCTGGTTGGGACATCTGCGAGGGGAAGGATTGCATAACCTGTGGTTGAGGTTCGGGCTGCTGGGGTGCTGAATATTCTTGCTGTTGAAGTTGAGGAGGGATGTTCAGCGCTTCGTCCTGTCCGGAGAATCGTCTGGTCTGCTGGGCAACGTAACCCTTATGGGGTACTTCCTCTTCCTTAATTTTGGAAGAAAACTTTGAAATTTCTACTGCCTTGGCCGTTTGCGAATGCTCGTGCTCTTCTACGATTCTAGTGCGCTTCTGAATTAAAGCATTTCCTACCTGGCTTGCAGTGTTGATTGTTCTTTCGGATGATGCCTGCTCTCTCATGGCACTCTCCTGCGAACGGGTCTGAACGGTCATGTCACCATGTTGTTGAGTTTGTACGGTCATCGGCGTATCCTGGTAGCTGACGGTCTTGTGATGCCGAGACGCATCGAATCCTGGGCCCATTCCATGCTGTTGCTGGATGATCTTTTGCTGGATATCTGCCGGAACATGAGCTTTATGTGCGTACCAAGGAACACCTGTTAGCTTACCCATTGAAAGATAGAGTCCCGATTCATTCGGGATGTCGTCGCGAGGCGGTGGAACATGCCCCTTCAGTGGGTTCGGTGGTGGCCCAAAGGCAGGAGATTTCCTAACCGGCTGAGGCGTACGACGTCCATCGAATTCTTTCGACTCGGCATAGTATTCCTCGAAACCTAGCTGATGCTGGTAGTAGGGAATAGTCGTCGGATGTTTGGTCAAGATCAGCGAAGGAGTAAAGGACTGACCGCGATCGATAACACCCTTTGCTTGCAGACGACTGTGAGCATTGCTAAACTGGTTATACTGTGCCAACTCGGCATCTTCCTCCAGCGGGGTCTGTATGACTGGGATGGTACGATTTTGAATGGTTGTGAACGGTTGTGCCTTCTTCAACGTTACTTGATCTCTAATATTTACAGTATTTACAGATTGCGCGATAGGCTTTGTGAGATGGGATTTTGAATGAGTATCTACAAATGCCAACGGGACGTTTTGGCGAAGTTCCTCTGGATCTGGTGTATGCGGTGGATTTTGCGTCGGTAGGTTGTACCACTTGCGCTGGTAGTTCGGGATTTCCGCCGGCTGATGCAGGGGAGATTTGGTTTCACGCCGAGGAGCTAACGAATAGTGGTCGGATCCGGCGTCCTTTCTCGGATATGGAGGTAGTTTCTTCTTAGGTTTCTTCTCCTCTACCTTTGGTTCGGGTTCTGGTTCTGGTTCTGGTTCCGGTTCCGGTTCAGGTGCTGATTGTTCCGGTTCTGGTGGCTGCTCGCAGGGCTCTCGTATTTCTGGTATGATCGGCTTGAACGGCATTGGAGTTCGATTTCCACCGACGCTGGCAAACGCCGAGAAGTTTAGTTCTGGATCGACCTGGACCGAGGGTTGCTCCTTAAGCAACTCCTGATACATTTCGGATCGCTCAAACTTGACTTCGGTGAACGGTGTATAGGGCCGTTGTGGGGCGGTTACCAGCGCATCGGTCATCGATATGCGACCAGATGGCACTGGCATGTTTTCCATTTGCGAAGGTATTTCAGTGCCAAATTTCTGAAACGGAGTATAAGGAGCTGTAATTAAGGCTTCCAGGAAGGGTGACGCGCGTATGGATGAGATTTTCTCACTTCGGATCGGTTCCATCGAGTGAGGTGGTGGGAAATACGGAGTGGTATCGTCGGGAAGTGGGACAAACGGTGCCGGCAGATATTTGGGGAATCGTTCGGCTTTGGTGGTGGATGAGGCTAGCACCCTGGCCATCACGGAGCCTTTTCGAGGAATGTCAAGAGGAGGAAATGGTTCGGGTTCAGGTTCTGGTTCAGGCTTTTTCTTGTCCAAACGACGTTCTAGGGCATCAACCTGCCTCCTTAGGGCTTCCAACTGCCTGATCTTGGTTTCCTGTTGCTCACGAACGTAAGCTTCGTTGCGGGACTTCATGAAGTTCGCTTCCTCGATTTGTTCTGCGGTCAAGCGAATGGGATCTTTGGGTGCAGTGCACAAAGCCTGAACCAGTTTACTCTGCCATTGTTTGGGCACGGGATTGGGAACGATCGGTTTGGGACCCATTGGATTGGGAGATTTGATGACGGGTAGTTCGTAGTGTGGTATCGTGAACTCTTCGGTAACTTCTTCAAGCTCCATCTGTTTTCGTCGCTCGGCAGCCTCGCTGGCCGCTTGCTCTGCCCTTAGGAAGCGATCCAGCTCTTTTCTGTAATCGACAAATTCTACCCGCTTCTGCGGCTTAACCACTTCCGGAGATTTTGCACGTTCCGGTTCGATGGATGGTTCGACCGAGGGCTCAACCGATTCCACCTCCGGTGGAACATCACGAAATACGAAATGAGTGTATGAAGCATCCGACATGGCACCGGTACTTGCCTGGGCACTACGTTGACCGGACGAGAATGGATAATCCATCTCCAGAATCGGTGTGTCGTAGAACGTGACTATCGGTTGGGACGTCTGGGTCGAATACATTTGGTACTCTTCGGACGACGCCGAAGTCGATGTGGTCGTCGCCGTGTAAGTCTCGTAACTCTCTTCCTCCTGCTGCTGTAGGTGTTGTTGTTGTTGTTGTTGTTGGGCATCACTTCGCTTTCTGCTCAACTCTGGAGCGGATTTGCTCTGAACGCTCTTCGAAAACTGTTTATCTTCTTCTGGTTGTTGTTGTTGCTGTTGGATTTCCGGTGGAGAATTGCTTTTGCTTTTCTCTCTTGGTCTTTCCGGAGGTTTCACGACCACTTTCTGCGTTTCCGGAACCGGGATATAAATAGGGGTAGCGAGAGGAATAAATTCGTCGATGGCGCGCTTCGGAGGCCAGGTAAACACAGGGACGGGAGATTCGGCTGTTTTTTGTACCTGTTCTTCTTCGTCGTCCTCCTGCTCCTCTTCGTCGCCTTTCGATGTTTTGGTTGTTGTTGTTGTTGTTGATTCGGGACAGTTGGGAGGGACAAATTGGCACGCACGATGAGGTTAGTAAGCGTAGCAGATTAGAAAAGAAAGCCAGAAGCGGTAAAAGATAGAGAGAGAAAGAAGAAGAAGAAGCATTGAAAGCATGATTTGAAGCGTTATTCTGATGAGCGGTTCAATGTAATTAGATGCGGCATTAGTAGAGCCATGTATTGCAGCTGACATTTAGACAGTCTCTCTCTAGCGACTTGAAATCGTACCTCTAAAATTAAATTTGGGTGGATTGACTGACTTTTTATTGTAAAAGTAGCTTTTTCCTGTGTGTGTGACGTAGTTCGATTGTATGGTATTCACACATGATGTTGCAGTACAGTGTGGTGAGGAGGAAGTATTTCAATGTCGGTTGTTTACGGTGTTGATGGGGATATTTTTAAAAACCATTCGAAGAAAAATGGAAACAAAATGTCATTCAGATTATGAAAAATGAATATAACTACAAAACGGAACAAAGATATTTTTGAGTGTTGCTGTCGGTTGAGGTATGTTTGAAAACCTAGGTTCTCGTCTTTAGAATGAGTTGATCGCAAATGAGTAACAACCTTGTTGAGTTGGCACAGCAGCGGGGGCGGCGGCAACGGGAGCCGGAGCCGGAGCGGCCACCGGTGGGTAGACCGACGGCTGTTGAGCTAAGGCCGGAGCCTGAGTGGGAGCCGGACAAGCGGCGGCGAACGGAGTCGGTACGCTACCGGCCACAGGTGGGTAGGATGCTGGTGGTTGAACCTGGGACAGGTGTGAGCTGACCGGCAGAGGAGCGCCGAATGGTTTCGGCATGATGTTGCTCTGGTTCTGGTGGTGAGAGAAGCGAAAAGATGAGAAAATTAGCGGCTGTCATTTGGATGTTTGAAGGGTATTGATTTTCGCGTGGGCGCCACCAGCTCAGGTTAGCGTCATCAATTGGTTTTGTACGTTTTTCTGTTTGGGTTTTTGGCAGTTTAGGGATAAAAATAAATCGCTCGGGAAAATTCCTCCTATGGTATTTTGTGCCGCGGCCATGAAACTGTGAGTAGAGTAATGCGTAAAACCTAATGTTTGGCAAGCAATTAGTGAGCAAAGCAAATTGGTCAGCGTTTTAAATTTCAGTTATCAATCCCAAGTAGATACTTACTTTATATGATTTTGAAATTGGGGCAAGTGCAGCAAAATTACTAGAATGAATAGACATTCAGAAAAATGCAAGAATTCCAAATCTGAAAAAATGCATCCTGATGAAGGCAAAAACACTCGTTCTACATGATGTGGGGAAGTGTTGGTATCACGTAGCACCGACATTGAAGACCTTTCATAGCTTGTGAACCATTTTTGCATTTTTATATTATACTAGCTGAGTGTGCCCGGCCTTGCTCGGGATTCAATATTAGCTTGAGTTTATGCGGCAATTCAAAAAAGCATGCTATATTTTACGTAGCACCCCCCCCCCCGTCTTTTCTAAAGGGGCTACCTCATATGACCTCCACATGCCAAATTTGGTTTCATTTGCTTGATTAGTTATGCAGAAATTTCTGTTTCATTTGTATGGGAGCCCCCCTTTACAGAGGGGGGAGGGGTCTCGAACCATCATAACAACCTTTCCCTGCCCCAAAAACCTATGCATACAAATTTTCACGCCGATCGGTTCAGTAGGTTTCCGAGTCTATAAGGGTCAGACAGACAGACAGACAGAAATTCATTTATATGTGTATAGATAGCAAACTCAATAATACTCTGTACCTCGACCAGGCATGGAAATTCATTGTCATTCATTTTGTGCATTCATTTACATTAATTTGCCTCTAAATTGTTTAATCAATAGAATTCCGTAAAATGATGTTTGAAGCTTTTGTAGGTTTTGATATCAGCTACATTTTTTTTTGTCAAAAGCTTAAATTTGTATCTCTTATGCATACACATTAATCCAGTCAGTAAGGATTTACTGGGTTTCTGAATTGCGGAACTGTTCGGTAAAAGTTTAAAATCTGTGGAAAATTAAAAAAAAAATGAGAAAATTTATTCCGAACTTGAACAGAATTAGCTCTGTTGACCCCATTTAACGATAGAAAATATAATTTGTCGATTTGATTGATTCTTTATGGATAAATAAAGGTCATTTGAATTTTTTCCAACTTTTCCAATAATTCACAAACCCAGTAAAAAAAATACTGACTCCTGTAATATAATCTAAGTGTGTAGAGCGAACAGAACCCACCTTTGTTTTTCAGTGAATGTAAATTACATTCTCTGAAAAACAATAACAAGTTCTACACGCTCTAGTTTTTCATGCATATGGGATACAGATTTGAGTGTTTGAATACAGCTTTAGCTTATATCAAAACCTACATAAGCTTCAAACATAGTTTTACAAACAAACAAACAAAGTTAGAGGCAAATGAATGTAAATGAATGTAAATGATTTTCCATACCTGATCTCGACAAACAATAGAAAAGAGCTTATCAGCTTTTGTAAACTAAACTTGTAATGCCCTTTTATCGCGAACAGAAGCACGTCTTAAGAACAACAAAACTATTGGGTAAGGGCGACCCTTTTCTAATTTTATTCATGATGTTTGCTCAAGTGTGCATTTTTTTTAAATTCAAAATAAATCCTTTGTCATTGAGGAAGTCGAACATCATTTCTTAATTATTTTTAAATTATGAAATAACTAGATGCCATGATCATATTTTGAATTGGTAGGATACAAGAAGAGGTTGCAAAGAATGTGTTTGACATATTAAGGGGGGAGTACACTTTGATTTATAAAAAAATACATTTTTTTTTGGCTTAAAATGTTTCTTGAGATGTATATTTTAATTTAGAAAAGACTCCAAGTCCGCCAGAATATTCCTTATCGCTTTACGAAGCGATCTCCTAAAACATGTACCGGCGCGCTGAGAGAGCAATTTTATCTTTAAACGCGTTTATCTCGAAGCGGGGTTTTTCAAACTGGCGTGCGAAATAACTCTAACCAGTTATCATCAAATTTGGATATCGCCTAGGTTTTCTTGTTCAGAATTAAATTCTGCTTAGAAATACGTATCCACAATTTCGATTTTGTAAGGATTTTTAGGGTGAAAAAAAATGGACTTTTTTTCCTAAGGCCACAACTTTTGAAAAAAATAATTTAAAAAAATCGGAATACGTATTTCTAACCCAAATTTCATTACTAATCAGGATTTTTGTCCGATTTATGTTCCAGGATCACATGGAACGGAGTATTTTCCCACGCCGTTTTCTGACTTCCGCGCGAGGACGCCCGCGCGACCTGGTGCACTGGCCACGGGGAGACGCCAATCGAGTTAAAAAAAAAACAAATTGTAGTTCGAAGGATGACTAATAAATGGGTTATAACATATTTGCCGTCCCTGAGTGTTTTATTGCTAAAAAAATTAACGAAAATGCCTTACTTTTTGGACGTTCAAAGTGTACTACCCCCTTAAACCTGTTTATTTCATTTCATGAGAGTCAAAATCAGCGATTTTTCACACACTCACTCACTCACTCACTAACTCACTCACTCAGCGATCAGGAAATCGCTGATTGTGACTCATAGAAAGCAAAATCTACAGGTTTTATGATTCAAACGCATACTTTGTAACCTCTTCTTGTAAGTTACAATTAAAACATGCCATCATACCATCTTATGGTTTTATTATTCCGACAAAAATTATTTTAGCTGAAATGATTATTTGCAACCTTGCCCGCTGCCTACAGAAAAGTATGTTACACTTTTACTGATTATACTTAAAAGCAGGCTTGCTGAAACTCCTCAAACTCACTGGATGTTTTAAAACATTCTTGTCCTGCGAGTTTAGCCAGCCCTCACCTCGATTGAGTGGCGGCAGTAATATGGAAGAAGTAAACAAAAACTCCTCGAGAGAGAGGGAGAGTGAGCTTCAGCGAGAGGATGATTTGACGTAAGGTGCGCTTTTCGAGACTCCGGGTGACTTTTTTGTTCGAAGCAAGAACATGAACATTAATGGCAGCAAACCTCACTCTCCTTGTATCCCCCTTCGCTCACAAGCTCTGAAGCTCAGTGAAATAATTTGGCAGTATGTATTCTACTCCTCAGAAAAATGCTACGCTCGGCTCATTTCGAACTCGCAAGCGAGGCTCCATTATACCTGCTTAAAAGTTAAGTTAAAAAAAAATCGGTGAGGTTGAGTACAAGTTACGACCGCATGGTTGACGTAAACCACGTTAAGCTGTTTGGTGAACTTCTCATGCATTTTTCTTGATATTGATTTAAAATACAATAGAATTAGAAGTGATTTTTCTCCAATCAAACGTTAGGTTTTCAATAAGTACGCACTCAATTCAGATCACCGAAGTCGGTAGGAATTTACCAGGTTTTTGAACAGCAGAACAAGTCGGTAAAATTTTCAATTGACCGTTACACGTGAGGAATCAAGAAAATTTATAAATTTTATTCGTCATCAATAAATGGGGTAAACCGAACAAATTCTGCACAAGTTCAGAATAAATTTTCTAATAATTGGATTTTTCATAGATTTTTAAACTTTTACCGAACAGTTCTGTAGATCAAAATTTACCGAACGATGGAGGCCTGGATTAGTGTGTAGAAGCTTTCAGTGTTCACTCGGCTATCGACAGAAACAGGCCACTCTCGATGAGTGTCATGCGATCGTCTGTTTACTCGGCAGCAAACATTGTGTGGTCCTCTGCATTGTTCTTCACCAGCAGTTCTTTTAGTCGATGCATCGTCGACTTTGGAAAGCAACCGTTTCGTGATGAGTTTGTGAGTGATGACCACGTTTTGCGTCCATTGCTGCAATGGAAGCAGTCTACCCCCTAGGTGATACTGCCATATAATGAAATCACTTCAAGTGGATCCCATTCGCATGGAGGAGGCTATTGGATAGCGGAAGATAAAGTATTTTTACTCTGATGTACATTTTGACTATAGTTTTACGAAGTTTTGTATAGTGAACAATTGTATTGAGCCTTATCAAATAGATTATTAATCAAAAATAAGTATTTGATCAAATTCTTGAAACACTTGACTGGGAGTATTTTTTATTTATTATCGGTTGCAGATCTGGCCATAACCAGGCCCAGGGGACAATTTCTAGTTCTTCATTCTAGGTCCCTATTATTTGCCGCTGAGAATCTGTTCCGAAGCCAAGTAGAACCTCCACGAGGCGTCCCATCTTTCGTCCCATCATTAGTTCCATCATTCGTTAAGTCGCAGCGTTAAACCTGACTATTGGCCACGAAAAGGCTTGCCAATGCATATCAAAAATCGGCTACATACATCCGAACATTTGTTTATCTCAAATCGAAGGAAAACATTCCGCGCAACTACCATAAACCGGACTAGTTCATGTTGATCTTCGTCAAGCTTCGTCTACAATTTGGACTTCTACATCAACACATGTCAGGCAGCCTTCAGGTTCAATTGGCCCGATGTTTTCTGAATCATCTTGCCCCTTAAATGCTACACAGTAGGCGTGTGTGACGCATCTTCGATGTGAAACATATATCAAATAGACAAGAAAAATTATGTCGGTATATATATCATTTTCCAGGATGCTTTCAAGAACTGGCTGTGTTGGTGTTAGATAAGATTAGATTAGATTAGAAATCCTTGAAACACTTCACCACTGCCGGTTATTGATTGATGTAGTCGTTATAGAAGAAACATGGGTAAAAACAGATAACAAATCGGTGTATAATATTCCTGGACACATTTACATTTTCTCATGCGGGAACAACTCAAATGGAGGATTAGCAATTTTCACCACAAGTCGCATATCCTTTACCGTTCTACGCAATGTTCATGATGACGGTTTTC